AGTTTAGGAGCTGCCAGAGGATTGTGGGGCTCAGGATGGATAGGAAGGAAGTGATGATTGATGGATGTGAGTTTTTTTTTTTAAAGATTTTATTTATTTATTATGTATACAACATTCTGCTTCCATGTATATCTACACACCAGAAGAGGGCACCAGATCTCATAACAGATGGTTGTGAGCCACCATGTGGTTGCTGGAAATTGAACTCAGGACCTCTGGAAGAGCAGCCATTGCTCTTAACCTCTGAGCCATCTCTCCAGCCCATTAGGGTTATTTTAAGGGTAACAAAAATGCCTAGATTGATTGTGGTGGTGGTTGCAGTTTTATGAATACATGGAAGGTCACAGAATTGTGTGTTTTACATAGAGGAACATGGTAAACAGGCATAATGGGGGAACATCCTTCTGTGTATGCTTATGTTATTGGTTGTTAAATAAAGCACTATTTGGCCAATGAAGCAGAAAGATAGGTGGGACTAAGAGTCAAGAGGGATTCTGGAAAATGTGGTAATTAAGTCTTGTGATCCAGGCAGGAAGTGACATAGCAGGCAGACTCAGAATATAAGCAGGGGACAAGCAGAAAATCTTCCTCTTCCCCCTTCTCTCTGCTCTGGAGCCACCATGTGATCCGGGCAAGAGAAGACGCCTGCTGCTGGCATCCGTTAAGATAAGTCTTATAAAATATACAGATTAATAGTTATGATTGATAATTGAGACTGAGCTAGCAAGTAAGAAATCCTAATCATTGGCCAGCAGCATTGTACCTAATATAAGTCTCTGTGTGTTATTTTGGCTGCTCATGTGGCGACAGGGCTTGGCCAGCTTCGCAGGAAGATTTATTGTTACACAGGTAAATGTGTTATGGTAAATAATACCTTAAGACCCAGTGAGTTGGGGCTGGAGCGATGGCTCAGCGGTTAAGAGCACTGTCTGTTCTTCCAAAGGTCCTGAGTTCAATTCCCAGCAACCATATGGTGGCTCACAACCATCTGTAATGAGATTTTGTGCCCTCTACTGGCCTGCATACATTCATGCAGGCTGAACACTGTACACATAAGAAATAAATCTTTTTTTTTAAAAAAAAAAAAAAAAGAAGCAGTGAGTTTAGGGGCAGAAGATAGGCTGATGTAACTAAGCCTTACACCCCTTGCCTAGCAAATGCAAAGCCCTGGCTTTGATCCCAACACCAGGAATTAAAAAATGTGGCCAAGTGCCTCCAATTCTTATTGCCCAGTTTGTGGCAGGGAGACTGCTAGAACAAGGCACACCTTTCTGGCTGTTTCCTTTAAAGATTCAAATGTTCAACCTCCCAATAGGTTTGCTTCATTAATGGTTGCAATACACTCTTCTGAAAGAAAGTCATTTGGTATCACTTTTTTTAAAATGGCAATGACTCATCAGACAGCATATGGGAAAGTAGACTGACAATGACCTGCTCTGATGAGCCACTTTGCAGCAGATGCAGAGGGAAAGAGGCCAGCAGCACAGGGCTCACACAGAAAGCTTCTAAGAAAGGGGGAAACTGGCTATTTGCTGGGAGCTTTGTCCTCAGAAAGGACCTGAATTACCTCCCGTCACTCCTGCTGCACTTGGCTGTGGACTATAATGCAACTCCTAAGGGCCAGCCCATCTCCCTCCCTCCCTTTTTCTTATTTTCTATACTGGAAACTGAATCTAAGCCTTCTCACATGTATTACTGAGCTATATGCAAAGCATTCAACTTACTTCTTTATTTTAAGACAAGATCTCACTAAATTGCTCAGGCTGGCTTTGAACTTAGAATCCTCCTACCTCAACCTCCTAGGTAGCTGGGAATTCAGGTCTGTAATAACAGGTCCAGCTAGGTTCCAGCATTTTGTATTTGGTTTTTGTTGTTGTCTTAATTATCTTCTTTAATATTGACATCAACCCTCTCACTGAGGTGTGATTCTCACTTTACAGAAAAGGAATCAAGCTCAAACTCAAATAGGACCTTCCTTGAAAGAAATTCCCCTAGACTGTAGGCAGAGCCGGCAGCCAGAAGTGCCAACTAAGAGCCAGCCTTCTCTGCCATCAATTCCTTCCCAGTACAAGGACACACAGGATTACTTTTACAACTTCTCAGGAGAACTCAGAGAGAAGTTTCCAGCAGCTTTGAGCCCACCTCTCTGGCCTCAGACCTCCCTTGGCAATTGGAAGGATTTGTGGTCTAAGTCCCTGAAGTCAGAGGTAGACAAAAATCCATCATCACTCACCAAGACAGACACAAACCTCAAGATAATTTGTTTTCCAATGGTTTTGGCTTAGAGTTCTGGTTTGGCATTGGTTTTTTTATTATTTTTTTTAAACAACTAGCAGCTGTAGGCAATTTTCTCTCACACAATAGAGACATCAGTAAGCAAAGAGTGGAATTTTCTCCCTTTGAATGCAAAGTAACAAGCAGTCTTCAAGATATATATGGAGCTGCCACCGCCAGCTCCTGGGTAGGGTTCAATTCGGGAGTCTGATGGAATATGCTGGAGGGAGCACAGATGCAGATATATGCAGATGCTAGCTCTTCGCTGGCTCCACAATCCACAAGGCCTTCAGCTATCAGTGGCACACCTCTCCTCAGGTTCATGTTCAACTGTAAAGTCCTTTGAGCAGGAAATGAAACCAGGCCATAAATGTGCCATTCCTGCCCTTCTGCATAGCTATCATGGTACATGAATCACAGCCCCTCCCTGGGAGAGGACTATGCATCCTCCATCCATCTCGGTGACCTCAGTCATGGCCATGTGACTAGTGGTGCCAACCTCTACAAAAGAATGACACTTTCTAACCCAGTGTTTCCAAGCATGTCTTTGTGATCCGCATTGGCAATGAAACGTGGGCCCCAGTGACATGACTGACTTAGAGATTGCTGCTTCTTTTCCTCTTGGTAAGAAGGTGGCAAGGAACAGAACTACTGACCTGGGGTGAACACGTAGCACTAATGCAGGCTAAGGCTCGGCTGTTGGAACCATGGTTTCACTACCACAGCAGAAGCCTCCTGCCCTTCCCCAAGCCTTCTGAAAGTCTTCCCTGACCATATTCCTCATCACCTGTTGTCCACCCCACAGCAAGAATTCACATGATCCCTGCAGGGGAACTCTGTGCTTGTACCTTTGATGATGTTAGAACTTCATGATTGGTCCTCTCTACTGTTATCAGTAACTGAACTCATCACAGTTCTGAAGGCCAAGTCTAACTTCTTTGTGTGTGTCTGCTTTGTTTTGTTTGAGACAGAGTTTCATGTATTCCAGGATGGCCTCAAACTTGCTATGGAGCCTAGGATGACCTTGAATTTCTGATCCTCCTGAGTCATCATGCCCAGTTTATGTAGTGCTGGGGACTGAATCCAGGTGTCATAGTTAATATTCATTGTCAACTCATTAAGCTTTAGAATACACCATGGATACACAAGTCTGAGTATGTCTATGAGGGTGTTTTCAGAAAGATTTAACTGAGCAGGCAAGACTCACCCTGAATGTGGGCACAACATTCCATGGGCTGGAGTCTTGGACTGACACAAAGGGACCACACTCATCTCTCTGCTTCAGTCACATCAGGCACATGTGACTAGTAATTGTGCCACACACCTGCTACCATGCCTTCCTGTCACTATGGACTAAAGCCAAAGACACGTCTTCTCCCTTAAGTGGGTCTGTGCCAGGTTGATTACAGGGATGAGAAAAGTCATACATCAGGTTATCTTGTATGCTAGGCAGGAACCATACCAATTGAACTATATCCTGAGCCACGTGTGTGTGTGTGTGTGTGTGTGTGTGTGTGTGTTAGGCTCATTTCTCCCCTCGGGAGACCAAAACGCAAACCTCAGCTCCACAGACTCTCGCTGGCTCATCTTTCCATTTCTGAATTCTCATCTGTAGCCGGAACAACACTGTCAGTCCCCTGGCAGGCAGTGACACAGCCTACTTTCTGCCCTAAGAATCAAGCAAAAGACCACATTCTGTAGCTCCTGCCACGCAATCACATGCCCAATGAGAAGAAACTCTACTAGGAAATGCTGGCTGTAATCAAAGGAGGATACGGCACACCTGGGACTCCACTGAACACCTTGAAGGGTCAGGCACTAGACCCCACCCACTGTGGCCTGATCTGGCTTAAACTTGGAAGTAATTCTGAGAAGCAGTGTTTCCCCTACAGTTTTCAGAAACTGGGATCAGAAAAATAACTTGGCTGTCTATACTTAAGTAGGAAGATTCAGGGTAGTGAACTGAAGCAAGGAATGCTGATCTCTATACTAGCTCTCTTTAAATTACACCATAAAAGTGAAGAGTCCACTTGCACCTCTTGATGAACAGGTTCTACACAGTCTATATCATCTCATTTGAGGTCAGTGATCTCTACAGTGTGATGATATCTATAAAAAGTTTCCCACAACAGCTGTTACTCCAATCCTATCATTAGTCTAAATAACGATACAGCACTTAAGTACTAATGTCTTTCACCAAAGTTCAAAGACAAATTGGGAAGCATGACTAATTTTCAAGCAGCAGTAATAATACACATTGGGAAAGGAGTGAAGGAACATGGAGGCATTCCAAAATGTGTGATGTAGATGCAGGAGTGACACACATAAGCATAGACCCGAGGAAGAATGAGGATGAATTAGAGCAATTTAGGATATAGTACCTACCACTATTTTTGAACATCCAAATGTTGAAATCCCTCTGCCTATTTGAAGCACAAATAAAACCTTTGAATGTAGAGTCATATGACCCTTTTCAACACTCACCTGTATCAATCCGTGTACACGCATGTGCCCACGCGTGCACATGCACACACACACACACACACACGCACGCACGCACGCACGCACGCACGCACGCACGCACACACACACACACACACACATACATTTACTTCTCCATAGTCAGTGAGGACAGTAAAAGCTCAGATACAGCCAAGGCAACCCTCTTTGCCTTTCCTCTTCTCCCCTGGCTTATCAAAATGACAGCATAAACATCCAGGACTCACCACAAGTTCACTGAACATGACATCCAGCTCCTCCACAGGGGGCATGGGCAGTGCTGGCTCCATGGTCTGAAGTGCAAAGTTGCTATCATTTCGAAGCCGATATGTGATTTCTGGGTGGTCATTGTTTCGGAAACAGCAAAAGATAAACGAAATTCCGCGTCCACCTCTCTTCCTTGGGGCCATGGTTGAATTTTCTCCTATTTCCTGATATTACTAAACTCTGTGAAAAGACAACATGACATGGTTGAGTATGATAGACAAAAAAGTTTTGAAAAATCAAACCAATTCAAAAGAGAGTTCCCTATGTTTCTGGCAACGTGAAGACTCTACAGGAAATGGGGGGGTGTGTGGCAGAGAACCCATGTCCTTCCATTCCCTTAGTGAATGATCAAACCAATTCAAAAGAGAGTTCCCTATGTTTCTGGCAACATGAAGACTCTACAGGAAATGGGGGGGGGTGTGTGGCAGAGAACCCATGTCCTTCCATTCCCTTAGTGAATGCTTCCTTAGGCCAACTGTGTACAAAAAAATGCAGCTCCAGCTACTGCACCCTGCAACATGCTCTGACCAGTCCAGCTGACGGCCATTCTTGGTATGGAATTCTTTTTCCTCAGGAATGACTGTTTCTAAAACTTCTCTTTGCAGCAGACAGAAATCGTTTCAGAAAACCACAACCAATAAAAATGCAGAGTTGTGGAGCCCAGTCCTAATGGACACATCTACAAAGTGCTCCCACACCTAAGGCCCAGGGAACATTGCTGAATAGACACCAGAAAGATTGTAAGAACCAAAGGATCAGGGAGTTTGCCGTGAGATTGTGTCTCCTAGAAGCTACACCCATAAAGTCTGACAAACATGACAGCCCAAATGTGAGCTAAACAAGGATGATACCAAGGAACATACCAAACAGGATGGGGAAAAGCCCACAAAGTCTCAATCCCATGCACAAAGGAAAAACAACAACAACAACAAAAACCATAGGCAACTAAGCTGGGAGTGGGAGAGGTGGTCTTATCCTCTCCCACCAATTGGTTGCCTGGTGTCAAATGATAACCCTTGAAAACATGCATATAAGCAACATTATATGAACGCAACAGGTTACATTTTGGAAGTGTCAAACATGCATATAAGCAACATTATATGAACGCAACAGGTTACATTTTGGAGTTATACATGTATAAAAATACATATATGCATGCAATAACTATTATTTAAAAAAAAGAGGCCAAGAATTTGAAGGAGAGTGGGAAAGGGTTTATGGGGGGTGAGGGGTTAGAGGGAGGAAAGGGAAGGGAGAAATGTTGTCACTAAATTATAATCTCAAAAATAAACACCAACCACAAAAACAAAAATAAGAACGATTGTTTCTTCTTTGGTCCCTAGTAAATCTCATTATCCTTGTTTTCAAATTAAAGCTTTATATTTTTTCTTTTATTTATTTAATTATTTGTGGGAAGGGACATTTTGTGCCACAGTTCATGTGTGGAGTCTGAGGACAATTTGGGGGAGTCAGTTCTGTCTTTCTAACATGAAGGTTCCTGGCACTGAACTTGAACTCAGGTCATCAGTCTTGGTGGTAAGTGCCTTTACTTGTTGAGCCATCGAGTCAGCCCTCAAACATCCTTTAAAGTCCTACTTCAAATTCTGTCATCTCTCTTAGGTTGACTTAATACTGAATAGATGCTCAGGCATCCACCTATCTGTCCTAGCACGTGTGCAGTCCTGTTCTTTATCTGTATCTTCTGTTAAATAGTGCTAATTCAAGCACATGGCCTAATGTACTTTGTCTAAAGCCAGAAACAGAGGAGTCACTCTGCAAATGTTTAACATAATTGAAGTTAATGACAAATCAAGAACTTTAGGGATTAGTGCTTTTTAAACAGAAAGACATGAGTCCAACAATAAGGGAAATAGTGAAATAAATTCATTAAACAGAACAAGACATCCAAATACGTAAGTTAAAAAAAAAGTTCAAATGCTATTTTGTACAGACACTCTACCCTGCAAGATAACAGGGTGTTCTCAGAACGTATTAAGATTTATAAATATATACAAAGATATTACTAACATTAGCCTCAAAAATAAAAGGTTTGGGGAGCTGTGCCTTTCTGTCTTGTAACCCTTTAGATTTTCATCATAAGTGTTTTTAAGCCCATCCTGAATTAGGAGTCCCAGCCCATGTAAGTAGTACTAACTTAACTGTAATGTCAGTAACTGTAATGTCAACATGCTCCTACCAGGAGATGGGAAACAGACAAGAGAAGAAGCTAGACGCTTTCCAGTAGCTATCCTAGCTTATGCAGCAAGAGACAAGAGCTCCGTCTCAAGCAAAGTGGAAAGTGACAGGGTCACCATACTTTAGAATTGTGGACAGGTGACTTGCTGAAGAGCTATAGAGAATGCCAAGCCCCTGGGGGGGGGAGGAGAGACAGCTGATTACAGAGATGAAGTCAATGATACCACATTCACAATTAAGGACAAAGCAGTTTGTTCTCCCACACAGGGCTAGCAGGTGGCAGGCACTTCCTAAAAGACAAGAAAAGACCCAAGGGGGAGGAGAAGGTCTGCATCTATCTAAACTTGAACTGATCTCTGGGCTGATATACAGAAACAGGCTCAGAACTGTGCTGCCTCCAAGGTGGAACTGAAAGCCAGTGGGCCACAGCTATGGGGGACACAGGCAGTTCTCTGTGAGTGTGTGTGTCTGTGTTGGGGTGGGGGGATAAGGTAGCAGGAAGGAGACCCTGGCTGGCACTGTGATCTTCAAACCACTCCTCTTAGGAATGCCCAGGACTATGATGCACCCTAACAGTCTCAGAAAACTTCTTGCAATTAAAAAGAACATGCACAGCTAGCTCATCATCTCCTGAGCCTCCACATCTGTCCCATCTGCCTTTCCACCTTCCCTTGGGTTACTGCATCTAAAACACACTGATCGTGTTAGCTTTGACCTCAGAACCTTTGCACCAACAATGTCAGAGACTGGCAGGTTTAGGTCTACTTCAGTACATGGCTGAATCCTCATGATAAAGCACTAGCACTCTCTCAAAGAGGCCACCCCGATTATGGTCTTTCCATATCCCATGCACTATCCTTTCATCCTGATGAAAAGTTCTTCATAGCAGTTGCCACTAGCTGGAATATCCTATGTGGTTATTTAATGAAGGAAGAGCCATGATAGTAAATACTTAAGGAATACTTGTTAGTATCCAGGCATCTGTACTGGCCTGTCCTTGGGGTTCTGACAGGATATGCCCTCAGCTGCAGCCACTAAGAGAACCACCTGTGCATATTCACTATGTTCCCTTTTAAACAGGCCCTGCCCACCTCCCATCCCTCTCTCTCTCTCTCTCTCTCCCTCCCCCCTCCCCCTCTCTCCTCTCTCCTTCTTCCTGCTGCTCCCAACCCTGGAGACCAGTCTCCCCCTTCTCCTGTCCCTAATAAAAAACCTTCTTCTTGAACCCTGTCTCATGGCATCTTTCTCTCATGTGCCACTTTTCTTAAATTACAACAATTCTGAATTTGCATATTCTAGCTCATTTTAAAGGGCTCTACTTCAAAAGGTTTACCAACTCTGGGGCATGAAGATGAAGGTTGGACACTTAAGTTTGGCCTATAAGGTTTTCAGCTTTTAAAAATCAATGTATTATACAAGACTGTTGTACTTAACAATACAAATAGAAACACAAAACAGAGACTAGAAACAAGTATGTCAGCATTTAAAAGTAGCTCTGGAGAGATTTTTTTTCTTTGGTTTTTGTCCTTAAGTTTTAAAAGTGAAACTCACTCTATCAACATAGAGAATCTACAGACCCCACTGTAGAAATCACCACCAATTTTTTTTGGTTTCCTCATTAATATTTTGGGTAAGTTTTTATGCATAACTATGTTTTTATACATAGTTTTTATATATAACTATGGCTTACAAACACCTCTGGGATTGAGCCCTTATCGGTCTAGGTGATGAGGGGAGTGTGCAAGGTTTCTGAGCATGTGCAATTTTAAGTCCTTGGGACATGAAGGGAGGGAGGGACGTGGCCCTGCAAGATGACCATGTTGGCTCTGAATTAAAGAGTCAGCTTAGACATCTAATATCTTATTGAATTGGAACATGCATTTCTTGGTCTATAGTTCACATGTATAAGGTCATACAACACACATGTGGTACTTGGGAGTCCCTGGACAAGTGTTCATCAGTACCTGCTATGTCCCCTATATAGTGAGCACCTAAGGATTCAGAAATGGTAACTTAGAGCCAGGGAACAGTTGTGTGTCAAATCATTAAAACAAAGGTAATATGGCATGGCCTTCCAGAAAGCTCCAGGGAAACCAGCAATAGGATCTGGAAACAGTCCTTGACAGATGAGTAGAGTCAGGAGCGAACAGGAAAGTGAGGCACCCCAGAAGAGGGGATAGGGCAAGCACTGATGAGGGGAGGGGGCACTGCCAAGGGTGTTAGGCTTGTGTAGCCTGAGGCAGGCTAGTGCACATCCTCAATTTCCTATGGGAAGGCCCTGGGCTGTCATTTCCTTGCTCAAAAATCTGCTAATGGTTCCCTCAGTACTATTCTAAATTGGCTTTCAGTGCTCCAAATTGGATTTTAGCCCAATTTTCCTATGTTTTCTATTTAGTTACTAATGTCCCACTTTATTCACAGGCCACTTCCTATGCCCCCCAAATATCTTATACTCCTATCATTTTCTACCTAGGTAGCCCCTTGTTCTTCATGACTTCTGTCAACATCCTCCCGCCCTGCCAGTACCAGTCTCCAGAGCACTCAGACTGTGAGACATCTGTGGCTGATGGCAGCTGGAATCTGGCTCAACATTTCTTAAAGCAATCTATCAAAGCCTTAAAACAGGCACACATTCTGACCTAGTATTTCTGCTTTTGGGAATATACCCTAAATGCTTGCTCAGAGACACAATCAAAGATGTTCTCTCTTTCTACCCCCTCCCTTCCCCCTCTACACACACAAACAGACACACACAGACACACACAGACACACACAGACACACACAGACACACACACACACACACACACACACACACACACACACACACACCAAACCATTATGCAAAACAGCCAATAAATAGGAGCAGAAAATAAGTGATAATGATGGGAAATCATGTAAAAAAAATGTTATAATGGCACAAAGATGTTGGATCAGCAGCAGCTATTTGTAAGATACTTAATGACATGCTCATAACTGTAGATAC